CTACTACTGATGATGCGAATTTAAAAAGCATCATCTGCCTTCTTACAAGAATTAATATCATTTGAAGACAACAGCCTTTACGTTTTATAAAAAATAAATAAAAGAAGGGTAAAAAAAGATTCTGCATGCTCTTTGGACCTGGAAGATGTTGACCTACCAAACAGTTTAACAAAGCTATTCTTTAAACAGTGCAATGTACAAACAATCATTCATCTTTAATAACAGTGACTAGCACGTTCTGATTACTACATTTACTTCAGAGTGAAGTCAGAGGTGACAGATCACACTCAAAATTAGAAATGTTGGATGCATAGGACTTCTTCTTTTGTTGCCATCGTACCAGGACAGGTGTCGAGATCATTTGATTTAACCAGAATCACATGGAAGTTTTAAAACCTGTTCTCGGGACAACCCCATAATAAAGAGAAGTTTAACAGCAGCGGGTCTGCATCACAGGATAATCATCATTACTGTCTAGAACAAACACCTTCTCAGAGTGGAAATCCCCCATCACAAATGAAACCTACATTCTGGAGGACTTGATTGGTATAATTTAGTTTAGCACTGCAGAACAAGTGCAGGAAGAGTTCTGTTTAAGGTGATTTATTGTGACTGGATCTCCCTAAAACACCCTGAACACGAACAAACATCTCCAACATTTCCAAAAAGATTCAAAAGAAACCGACAACTCTGCTGTGTTTGTGCAGTAAATCCTCTTTTGTTCCTGACTGAACATTGTCAATACCATGACAGTTATCACAGGATGCAGTGATTGGGAAGACCTGCCTTCTTCCCAGTGCATGCTGGGATACCCTGAGCTTCATCACAAGCAGGCAGAAAGAATAAAAAGGGAACTTTCTTTGTTGGGTTTTGCTGTATTGGGCCAATTCAAGTAGTTCCAGATTCTTTATGAAATTGCAGGAAGATGTAAGAGCTTTAATGTCACATGTTATTTTTCTTTCCATGAATCTGTATTTAAACGTTTCTCTGTTCTTCTTATATGTAGTAGACTGAAGTCGGGCAGTCTGAGCAAACATCAGGTTTAAATCTGCATTTTATTTTCACGTCCGTTGACCACACTATGTCTGGAAAAGAGATGTACTGTACATTACAGTGGTATGTAGGAGCACACAGCTGGTGCCTGCACCCTCCTGCACTGACTTCCTAGAAGCAGAAAATAACAGTGACTAGGAATAGCGTCCTACACAGACAGTCTGTCATTATGATCTTGGCACACTCTCCTATCGTCCTTGTTCATCTGCAGCTAAAACAGAAAGCCTCGGAGGAACAGCGCAGGACTATCCACACAAACCTCCAAATCATCACCTATGAAACCAGAAGGAAGAAAGTTTCTGCCTTCTGCCCACTTTGTTCTCTGAAGTCTGCAGGGATAGTGTGGTTTAATCTGAGAAAGACTTCTGCAGGTTCAAAGTGTGAGGGGATGTCGAGGCCTCAGAAGTGTTTTTTTGTGCATCTCATTTTTAGCTTCTGCATGATTTTATTTTACAGCTACGGTCTGCTGGGCTTTATCTGTTCACTTAACATGGAGCTGTTCAGCATCCAGTGAGTGACTGAGGTTCAGTGTATCTAACATACACTTTCAGTTTCCTGTCCAAACAGATACCATAACCTCTTCACAGTCCAGACTAGGGCTTTGAGAATGAAGAGTTCATGTTGGAGGGCTGAACAGCTTCTCTGTGGTTACACATACTTTCTAGTAAAACTGATCTACTGTCAGTAAACTGAGTCTAAAGCTGATCGTGTTTGCTGCTCCAGTGTAGCTTTCTGTTTTGTTATTAATAATAAGAAGAGGTGACACGCTAACAGGCTTGTGCTAAGGCTTGGGTTAAAAAAAAAGTTTTCCTTGGAGGTTAATCTCAGCCTATACCGGCATTAATTCCCACCTCATAACGCCCCATCATTTGCCAAATCTTGCCAACCAATCCATTTGGTGACTACATGAATAAGAAGTATTAGTAACTGCATGGTGGAGTAATAATGGCTGATGAGAAATACAAGCAGTGACATCTCCGGAGATAAGACACCTGACGAAACAACATCACTCTGGGAAACACAGCACTGGTAAAAGAAAAAGAAGAAGAAATAAAGGGAGAATATGGATGTGAGGCGCTGTAGGAAAAATCGAACAAAGCAGGGGATCATTTCAGGTTTAAGCTGTCAGACTCAGCCACATAGGATCAGCAGAAGCCTGAAATACCACACACTCCTAGACAGTCACAGGAATGAACTGTCAAAGGCCTGCTCATGCCACCACACAGGAGCTCTATTCACCAGCAGAGAGAGGGAGAGAGAGAGGAAGGGGGGGGGGGTATGACAGACTGCCCTTTGAGGAGGCTCTGCTTTGAAATGAGGTTGAGGAACATCCATGTCAAGAAAATATTGCCCTCTGATTTCTCCTCCTTTGAACAAACTGTGCTTTCATGGCTCTCCGGGCCTGCTGCTCTCTGGTTGGCTGAGCCTCATCCATCCCGCCTTCTCCTTCTCTCAACGCAGAGAGAATAAACATGAAAGATTCTGACCACTTTCTTCTCTAAATCGGTCTTTCACTGCTTGGGTGGGGCGCCGTTACAGTTTACACCAACATCTGCTGCTGCGCCACACTGCGCACACACACTGCGCACACACAGGCACAGATCCGGGTCCTTCTGGCAAACTGTGCGCAAGTCCGTTATGCACGTGCACATGCAGGTACATGGACTGTGAATGTGCCTCACCCTGACATTAACGCAGGGTATTATGATGAAGAAAGGAACCATTTCCTGCGCGCAAACGGACACTTCCGCGCGTATTGGCATATTTAGGCTAAGACATAGAGCCTGGTCGAGGTGTTGCACACAGAGGTACATTCACACAGATGTGGCATACATTTCCACACCCTGACCTGGAGAAAACATCCATAGCTTACACACACACACACACACACACACACACACACACAGAACTGTACAAAGCGCACACAGACACGGAGACACTGAACGCTTTCACTCCCAAACCTCTGCGCCTGGGCTGCTGCGCCGCATAATAACCCATTCATAACAGGCAGAAATGTCTCCAAAACACACACAGGAGACGACGGGAAGGTGCAATCACCTCTCGCAATCTGAAATTGGAAACGGGGCCAAAGAATACACTGAAGGGGGGCAATTTATGTTACAAAAGCCCCATTGGCCCGTAAGCTGTCTTCACAAGTTATCCAGAAGAAGAAGAAGAAGAAGAAGGAGCCATTGATCAATACTGAAATGTCTAAAGGTAAGTTTATTCTCAAAAACGACTTCTGAGGGGTTTCTGTTCAAAATGGGCAGGAAGTGTCTCTTCTGACAAACAAAAACATGAAACAATGGCGTCAAAATAAATACAAGAAATCAAACCAGCGTCAGAAAAATCTAACATTTTTTTTTTTATTAAAGATGAATCTAAACGTCACATTGTGGTCGAACATGGAGATTTGAAGTCGTGATACACTTTGAAATGTTTCTTTTATCTTATAACTGAGTGTCCCGTGTCATCAAAGTCCTCAGTGATAGGCTACCTGAACTGGTCTGGACTCAGGTGAATCAATGCAGCCTCTGTGTTAAAAATAACTCCAGACCACTAGTGGTTCATCCGGGAACTGCAGCGCATACAGATCATTCCTTTGGTCGAGTTTATCTCTAACCTGAGAGTGAGGGGAGGATGGCCAAACCTTGAAGAACACTAGAAGAAGAAAGGATATGAAGAAATCTCCATATCAATGTATGAGCCTTCTGATCACTAATACAATAAAAACCAACACAGACTATTAATCTGTTTGGAAATCAATCAAATCAACTCAGCTTAAAGTCACATCCTACAAAGTGGATGCAGAGACCCCTCCTCCCCGGACAGTGAGGGGTGGACTGGTGCACAGGCTGAGCTGGTAAACCCTCAGCCCACCTTCACAGTCTGGATCCACAGCCCACTTTAATTTCAAACAAAGTTTAGCTAAAATACAGAAAAACAATCTTATAAACAATATCTCCTAAATCTTTACGTTAGGCAGAAAAAACCTCCTACAAAGCGACCTGTGCAGATTTGTTTCTGCACCGTCCTACCCTAAGCCCCCCAGCTGCGGATACACAGAGGTGCGTAAAATGAGTCTGGATCTGGATTCTTGACAGTAAAATGAAGATTAAAGATGTACAAAATAGAAAAAAGAAAGAAAAAGAAACATCATTAAAATGATCAAAAATCACCTGCATGACTGAAATAAGAAGTTAGTGGCTCAACCCAACACTTGTTGAGAAGACACCTGTCAGCACATCGAGAGGGAGAGAGGCGAAGATAGAAAAAAACACTTTATCCAGTTTTTACAGCCATGAAAAAGACATTTGTAATCTCCCGTGTCTGTGACTTTCACTGTAAAGCACTTTATGCTTCATCAATTCTCTAAAGGGGTAAAAAGCTGGCGAAATGTCAGCTTTCAATAGTGTCACAAATAACAGAAAAACGGCACTCGAGTCACTATTTTCTACATTTTCTTAAAGGATGGAGCTACTAGATTTCTCCTTTATTTCCAAGTCCATTATCGGACCTTCAGATTTCTCTTGCATTAGTAATTCGTGATCCACAATCAATTTCAAGGCTTTTGGAAACCAGGGAGCAAGAACAAGCCAGCCCAAGATATTTTTTTTTAGAAATCTGCTCTGTAGAGAAACAGCACACAGTACACCAGGACACAAGATAATGAAGGCAGGCATCAAAATAAAAACCAGATTCTACATTTGATTGGTTTGGTTTGGCTGATTATTCTTTGGGCATTGTGAACACATTTCTCTGTAAAACTGCAGAGAGTCAGGTGCGTTAGTGTCCGATAATGGAGAAGCTGTCAATCATTACGCACGCTGAATTTTAGGTTTGCGAAAGATGGAGACTTTTAAAAACGCAAAAGCGGGAAGAAAATCACAATATGTGGCGTTAACGCGCACATGAAGTAACTGAGGTGTTGAGGGGAACTATCTTACCTGCACGAACCACGGTTGTTTGGCACACAGCGAGCGCCACGATCACCAAGGCAAAGGATGAGAAGTCCATGCGCCATGGTCTCCGTTTCTTCCGGAAGGGAGAATCTCCAGTATCCATAGTGTTGCGGTAGTTTGCCCGCCTGGTTGAGCTGTGAGTGTAGGATATGGTGGAAGTTATCCTCTCACAGAAAGCCAGCCGACGAGAGGGATCCGACTGAACCTTCTGCGAGGCGACAGACAAAAAGGCACGCCTCTGGAGACTACCTCTCTCCCTAATGAGTTACCTATGTCTGTCACTGTTCACGCACAAAACCTTAACACTGAAGGGCTTTGGGGTGAATAGATATCTTTTATTTTAACGTTTAACCCCTTAGTGCTGGAGCCCCATTGAGTCAGACTGGGTACGAGTACCCAAAGTGGAGAGAGCAGCAGAGAGAGACCTGGAACCACGCTCTCTCTCCCTTCTCTCTCTTCCCCTCTTTCCTTCTTTACTTACACACTTACTCCCACGAAGAGTGTGTGTGTGTGTGAAGAGAGAAAGAGAGAGAGAAACTAAGAGAAGAGGGAGAGGGAGTGAGAGGGCGTGCGTAATTATGCCCTCTACGTGTACGGAGGAGAGTCTGTGAGTGACTGAACGTTTTTAATAACTATTTCACTTCACACACACACAACAATGGCGTCTTTCTGCTTTTATGTTGCGAACTGACACTGATCATTTCAGTGAACAACTGGTCTCAGAATCAGTAAAAGAAACAATCCTAATTCAGTGTTTAGAGTTTTTCTCTTTACCTTTTATTCTTCGCGCTGTCTCGTCTTTAATCTGCAGAATTCAAACGGCTGGTTTTATAAACCAAGATGAACACTTCAGGTGGAGTGGAAGAGTGAGCGTTCAGCCAGCCAATCAGACTTCTGTCCGCGCATGTAACCACGCCCCTGTCAGCCAGTCTCAGCGCTCTCCTCTCGCTCTGATTGGTTGGTTCCACGTGGCCTTGTTTTGCAGCATCAGAGAGAGAACAGACATCATTTCATTACCAGTGTGTCATTTATGATAAATCTGTCAAGTCAACTTCATTTTCAGGACTTGTAAGACTCACAGTTTCTATCAGGTTACATTTTAAAGAGTCTTAGTCTTTAGGTAACACAGATGGACACGTGACATGACACTCTGACACTTCTGTGACGAGCTACATCACTATCTTCTTTTAAAAACACATTTTTATCATAAGGCCTTCTTATAATCCTTGTTTCATCCAGGATGTTTTATTTGTTTTACTGTTAACTTCAGCCAATCTTTGTCTCAGTTGTTTCTCTTTTCTCTTCTCATTGGATGACTGCTGCACTGTTGTTTTATTTTTCATGCTTTTAATAGGATTTTATTGTTGTGTATTTGACTGTTGGGATTTTTTCTTTTTTCTGTAAAGCACTTTGTGACGTTGGTTTTGATAAGTGCTTTATAAATAAACTTTATTATTATTATTATTATTATTACTTCTGTGACGTCAAACAGTTCAAGGATTACTGCAAGCTTGAATAATAAGCGGGTACAAGTCGATATTTGGAGAAAAAAAAGGATGTTATCTCTACATTTAGAGACAATATAAAAGAACTTATACATGAAGATTTGTGTTTCCTACATTTAAGAGAGACGGAGAACAACACTGCACCAGGACAGATAACGTTATTTTTTCTAGTCCATCAAAATCCAAGAATCAAGTAGCATTCATGTTAATCCGTGGTGTTAGTTTCTCCTAATCTGTCCGGTGTTTAAAGGTCTAAACCTCACACCTCTCAGGTGATGGATCCTCTTTGGTAGGAGATCAACCAACCAGGAAACAGGACCCTGTCATGATGCACTGTCCTGTGAGCTTCTCTTCCAGGTCTGACTCCAACAGAGGGTCCTTCTGGTCCTGGTGCAGCTGATGAAAATGTAATATGTTTCATTCATATTTCATCATTTTATTTTGATTTATTAACAGATCACTTAACAATTATTGGTGCCAGAGCTGAGAGTCTCAAACGTACAAAAACCAACACAGCTTTGGAAACCGGCTTCTGTTGGGCCGATAGCTTTTGCTAATAAGGTCCTAAGGTCCTGTAAGCTCTTTGCTCTCATGTCAGGAGGGTTGAGTTAAAGGGCTTGCAGGGGGGGAGACACCACCACTGGTCCCAGATGTCAGGCCCCGGGCTTTACATCTTAAATCTCCTGCTGGTCAGAAGTCCCATGCCTGCGGCGAGCAGAGAGCTCAGGTCGGTTCCCCTTGTGGGACACCGTAACAGAGGCCATGTTTTTTATAATGAAGTTAAACGGAGAAACTCAACAGATGTCCTGAATATCTTAAAGAATAGCTTCAGCATCTTTGCACTACTCACCACTGCACTATTATCTTATATTATCTTATTCAGCCTTGTACATATTAGTCTTTGCTTATTTGTTTATTTTTGTGTTTATTGTTGATATTTAATATTATACATTTGTACAAAGAGAGCACAGTTTACCAAAGTTAAATTCCTTGAGTGTTTAAACATCTGACCAATGAAGCGGCTTGTGATTGTGATTCTGAAGAAGCTTCTTTATAGGACATTAACATCATTTCAACACCAAAAAAGAAAAGACAGATTAACAAAAAGTCTAATCCAGTACTGAGATATTCTGTCATTTCACTGATTCTATCATCTTTATTTATACTAAACATAACCTGAAATACAGAATCAGTGCTTACTTATATTTATTCCAAGACAAGCTGATGTTCCTGTCCCTGGAAGAATATCAAATTCCTTCAACATAAACGTGAAACCTTCGTCAGTCGTGATCTCAAAGAGACATTCCTTTTCATAATTTTCAAAGCTGCTTTCAGATCTCTACCTGTCATAAACACTTAACAGCATCTTCTTGTTTTCAAAGCGCTCTCCCTCGTCTGCCTCGTAAAAGATTGTACAGTCACACAGGCCGTAGTTAGTCACTTTCTTTGAGTGCAGCAGACTCCACAGAGCAATAATTAAACTTAATTATCCCTTCATGCTTTATATCACTCACTCACTATACCGCTCGTTTCCTCCCACTAAAGTCTGTCTAAGTTTCTGAGGGGGGAAGGAGAGGGGGGGGTGTACTGTGGTACTTCCATGATAAACTTATTTTACTGTCTTTCTCTCGAGGGGCTTACTCAGAAGAAAACACTGAAAGAGCAAAGAACTGTAACCCTCAGAGATATTCTTTTACGCACCAATTACACAACACATGTTTACTTCTGATGATCATTTCTGACTTTCTCTGCTGCCAACTTTTGACTTTAAATAGGACACACGAGTCTGTATAATTAGACGTTACACAGATGTATCAGCTAGTTCAGGTTTTCTCTGTTTTAATGAGATAACTGGAGTACAGCTGAGTGCAGAGACCTGCATAAGATTTAAACAAAAACAAACAAACATGATCAGGTAAATATTCAGCCGTGCACGTCTCTCCGCTGTGTTAAGATGATTGTTCAAGTTTATTTCAGAGTTATGATTCAGAACTCTGACTTGCAGGGATATATGTATTACAGCTCAAAGTATTCAAACAGTGCACAGAGCAGTGATGCTGGCTTTACATTTATAGGATCTGTTGAGGTATCCAAACACAAAGGGAGCTACTTTAATCATTAAACAGCATTAAAACGTTTTTTAAAAAGTCAATAAAATAGATCAGAGCTGAGTTTGTATCTGAACATGATTATTATTTACATTATTCTATATTTTGCATATTCAAATATTTCTTTTTTTTTTTAAATGTTACATTATATTCTATATTACTGTATTTATGTGTATTAGTAATTTGAGTGTATGCATGGCCTTGTGGAACAGTCTTTACATTTCACTGCACATCTGTATCAGCATGTCACAAATACAAATCTTGAATTTTCCAAAAATAATTTAAACGTTTTCAGTTTCAATCAGTTTGACAACAACACGCTGAGGCACAACTTATTTCTATTTGAGCACATTTAAATGCATCATGATGATCAAGTCAAATAAATGTAAAAGTCTGTTTTTGGATATACGCTGCATGTTGAACACACTGAAGCAGGACCTCACTTACAGCGTGGAAACAAGGTAAACCACGACAGCAGACTAAACATTAACATGCTACAAGTACACACTGATTCAAAATGAGAAGAGAAGTTTGTGAGCTTGAATATTAAATATAAATTGTCTTTGTGCTGATATAGAAAAAGGTTTAAGGTTTATTTTAGAGACAGGACAGTGGATGGAGTCAGAAATCGGGGCGAGAGAGGGAGAGAGAGAGAGAGACAGAGAGAGAGAGAGAGAGATAGATAGATAGAGAGAGAGAGAGGAGAGAGAGAGAGAGAGAGAGAGACAGGGAGAGAGAGAAGAGAGCGAGAGAGAGAGAGAGAGACAGGGAGAGAGACAGAGGGAGAGAGAGAGAGACAGGGAGAGAGACAGAGAGACAGAGAGAGACAGGGAGAGAGACAGAGGGAGAGAGAGATAGATAGATAGATAGATAGAGAGAGAGAGAGAGAGAGAGAGAGACAGAGAGAGAGAGACAGAGAGAGAGACAGAGAGAGAGAGACAGAGAGAGAGAAGAGAGAGAGAGACAGAGAGAGACAGAGAGAGAGACAGAGAGAGACAGAGAGAGACAGAGAGAGAGAGAGACAGAGAGAGACAGAGAGAGAGACAGAGAGAGACAGAGAGAGAGAGAGAGAGAGAGAGAGAGAGAGAGAGAGACAGAGAGAGAGAGAGAGAGACAGAGAGAGAGAGAGCGGGGAATGATAGGATTCGAGCCCCGGCCGCCCGCTTGGAGGTCTTGAGCCTCTATACATTAACGTTTAGACCCCCATCAGCTTTTTAAACAGAGTGTCATCTCATTTGGAATCTGAGGAGTGAAGCCATGATTGATGAAATATGAATAAGATGAAGGCTCATGCTCAGATTTACAGAGTCAGACCTGTAGACAGAAGTTGTTTAACTTTCATCAGTCAAATCAAATCTAGACTTTTGGTTTTAAATCAAAATAATTCAACTGTTTGATCATTTTTTTGATGATGTCAGCATGGAGGCAAATCTATCCTCTGGTTTCCCAAAGTAAACCATAGAAGAGCCTCATTTGTTGGACTCTGAGGG